TGATTAAAGTAACAAAACTATTTCTGATACAAGCTAAAATAACAGGTTAATCATTTTTAGTTAGGAAAATCCATTATATTGTACGACAATCCAATGTAGATTTTATATAACAGGCGTATCAAGCGCAGAGGTAAAGTTTTTTTTTTGTGTTATAAACGCTACTTTGGGATCTGAGTATATAAAGTTAGAGTAGTTTTGGGTCAGAATGACTCGCCTCCTAAAGCTCTGGATAAAAAATCCAGAGAATACTCCCTTCCGGGTAATATGCAGCTTATCAGATACAACTGTTATAGGGGCTGTTAGTTAATCATTTCTCGCCACGATTTTTGGCTTCTTGAAATGAGCCTCCTGAGGCTTATTTCTCGAAACGATGAGTGAGTCCAAAAAGTGAATAGTTGCCCCCCAATTACACTGTATTCTACGGCAAAAAACTGAACGGCTGGTTCGGCGGCCCTACATTAGCCCGAAGGGTAAGAGGTTCCTGTATAAAATGTATACCGCAGTTTGCTAAATTTTGCCCTGCAAAACTCCCATAAAATAGTGCGATCATTTTAATGTTACTGAAATTGGACCCAAATATGACCTCATCTGTAGAAATAAAAGCATTTTTTCTTCATAATGCATTAAAACGCTCGATAAATATGGCATTCACATCTATTAGCATTAGCTTTCGCCTGTAGGTCATCAGACAGCTCAAAAATAGTCTGCTGCAAGCGTGGTGGGTCACCGTGCGGATCGAAGGCTACAGTAGGCACACTCCAAAATGTGCGAAAAATGACATTACTACGCTGTATTTTCATATTTATTCGCTGTGATAGGTTAGCAGGAAAATATCTGCTTGTCCAATCGCATAGCAAAAGGCCAAAACAAATGAAAAGGTTGTTCTCAGGAATACCACTTTCCGGGAACCAGAGAAAGTAATATCGTTAAAACGATACTTAAGTTTTTTTTACTGAATGTATTACTGCAAAGAAAGTTAATCGACATAATGAGCTCAAAAAAAATTTGTGATACTTCTGGAGCTCCTTTTTTAAAAGAAGTACTAGGGATTTTGGTTTTTTTAGGGTAGTACTACCAATATGAGCTTGGTAAAGTTAAAGTACCCTTTTTCGAAAGCTTGAGACTCGCTATATTTTTGTGACTTTATAACAGCGACCAGCAAGTAAATAACGCCATGAGTGTGGACTCATGTTTGGAGGGAATTCTGTTATTTTTTTTTTTTCGGAATTCGTAGGTATATTAGAAATTTACAAAACTTGCAGTAAATGCTCATTTCGATATGGCGATCCTATACACATCAGCAAATTGTGTGTAGCACTCGCTAATAGGCGCTCAATTACAAAAGATTTTACTGCTTGTTAACAGTAAGTCGATTTGTATCAAATCAGAGGAAAATGTCATTAAATCATTAGAAAACACGGTGTCAGCCAATGGGATAATTGTTATATTTTTCGTGTGTCGCACACAAAAACGAAATCCCTATAAATTGGTGGGACGGAGAAAAACATGTACATGCCGAAGGAAGTTGTGTGTGTTACACTGTACAGGAGTTACGAAACGTGTTGGAGGGATGATTTGCGCAGAGTTGTTAGGGCAGTACAGTACGGAGTGAGGACAAAAGTAGGGTGGTCTAGGCGGCCATAGTGGAGAGGAAGTCTTGAGTGTAGAAGGAGAAGACGCTTGTGTTGACCTTGGTAAAAGAAGAAGTGATGAATTATAGAGTCTGGTGTTCTGGTGGGGGAGTTACTCTCCACCAACCAGTCCAGTTATGTACGATTTCTCTATATGAAATAGTACAGTTATATTCCACTAGATAGTTATCATCACATCGGAGATGCTTACTTCGACAGCCTCCCACATCGAGGAATGTGTATGATGCTCTATCTGTCGGATAGTATTTAATGTACCACGGGTGGCTGTTTGTAACAGTCCTGTACGTACATGAGCATTTACAAGAAGTAGATCTTGTTTTGATATTGATGATCTTTTTCCTTTGACTTTCATTGTCAGATTTGTCACCTTGTGCCGTTTTGCTTTGGCAATAACTGTGCTGATTTCTTGTTTTCATTGTTATTTTGGCTACTCAGGAAAACCTTAGAGGATTAAACCTGTTCACCGTAGTGATTGTTGTTGCTATCGTTTTAGTTATATGAATTTGTAGCAGCTACTTCAGGGAAACCTTTAATTTTAAGGATCAAAACCTGTTCGCTGAATTGTTGCTGTTATCGTTTTAGCTTTACGAATTTGTAGAAGCTACCTCAGGAAAACCTTTAATTTTAAGGATCAAAACCTGTTCGCTCTGTTGTTGGCTACTCAGGAAACCTTTGAGGATACACCTGATCACCGTATTTATCTTTATATATTTTGTGTAAGCGTTTTAGCTTTGTTCATTTCTTAAACTGCCATTGTTTCGCTCTTTAATATGTGGATATTTCTTTACAGTGTGTGGTTTGTTTTTTGTTTTTCGCTGCTGAGGTCTTATAGAATTGCCTCCCAATTTCATGAAATGGTTGATATAGGTGCTGCAGTCATTTTTAATTTGTTCTGACTATTGTTATTGAGAGCTTATAGTTTTCAAATATTTTTGAAGAAAGGCTACAGCTTTTAAAAGCATAAATAACATCAAACAGTGTCATCGGTAGCGTACGCATCATATTTGCAGTAAGTGTGCAGGCTCTCGTCGTTGGGGTTATTTTTCTCCCTAGAGGCTCATCGAGTTGTTTCTCGTTTGGAAGTTTATAATTTTATTTTTACTTCGCAAGCGCTAGCGATAGATTTTGCAAACTATCGAATTCATTGTAGATGGAATTGATGCAGTAAAACTATAGTTTGCTTTCTGTAGACAGAGGCTTCTGTAGGCTTGTCTTGTAGTCATAAAGTGTTGAATTTTTTTTCTCATTCTTTTGGTACTGTTATGCTGGAAATGTTTGAAACTTTTGCCAGCGACAATTAATGTTAAAGTTTGGCGAATGCATGAATAGTTTTTGGCGTTGATGCCTCCCAGTTTCATACATTTCATTAAGTATTTCTCTCTCAACGTTTGGGGTATATATATATATTTTCGTACAAACAAGGCAGCCTTTGTGAAATTTGCAATTTTGTTTTTGCATCTTGCAAATTGCATGTATGATTTTATTCATAAATTTCTTTTGTGAATGTGGCATAAATATGTTTTGAGCAGCTAGGTAGCAATGCTTGCACCAAAGCAATATTCTCAGTAGGAACACACTTCACTCACATTTTACCTATTATAGCTCACATCTTTGGGGCATTTTTTCTCCCTAGTGGCTCTTCGGATTGTATTCCGGATTTTATTATACTTCGGAGTAGTGAGAAGCATGCACAGTATTTAGTCAATTGACAGAGACATTGCTCATGCAAAAAAGTGTTATTGCTCGGTAAGCGTAGATGGAGGCATTGTTAGCACATCTTTACTGTTCAGGAAGCTGAATGTCTTGGTAGTATGCCATTCATTATCTGTCGAGACATTTTACGGCAGAGGCTTATACATTTTTGTTCTTGCCTTTCATTTTCACCATGAAGATATTTTCCAGTTCCTCATTTTTATTTGACTTATCTTTTCAAATATAAAGCCTCCCAGTTTCTTGAGGATGTTTAACTCAGAGTTCAACACAGTTTTTTTTTTACTTGCTTGAATTGGGCAGTAGGCATCATTTGTGTTTGCATTGTCACCTTGACGTTTTCGTGTGTGTAGTGTGTTTTCACTCTTTATTCCTTTTTCTTAAAGGATTGTCGGTAGTGGCAGCGGCTCAGTGGCTTGCCTGGACTTTGATTTCTCTTACTTATGTTTCTTTGTGAACAAATACTACTAGTAGTATGTAGCAACGTCGATGGCAGTGGCTCGTTGGCTTGCCTACTTTGGATTCTCTTCTTTAATTTTTGAATCAAAACTTTTGATTGTCGGATCATACAATAAATGGCACTTTGCCTGAATATGCAGAGGCACGCTGGCTTGCTTTTTTCCTTACACTACAATGGTAGTATACTGCCATTATTGTTTATAGTAGTAGTGAAATAGTAATACATGTATGGTAATCCCAACATTATCGGCCGATAATACAGCCTGTATGCTCTGCTGATAGCAGGCTCGTTACGCAGTGCGTATTATAGTGGGCGATATTACAGCCCGTATGCTTCGCTTGTTGCGGGTCAATGCGGGGGCGACATTTCTGCCCATGTACCCCGCTTATAGCGGGCTCAATATACATTTCTTATCATTGTGGGCGCATTTACAACCCAAATGCGCCGCTTATAGCGGGATCGATACGCAGTGCGTATGGTTTGAAGTCTAGGGAGATTTTCCTCTAGCTCAATATCGCGGGGCAGACGTCCTGCTTAACGCGCGCAGCACGTTAGCTGGCATAGAGGGCAACATGGCCTTGAGGTGCCGGTGGCACATGGTAGACTCCCGTGCGTCCTCTTGTCGGCGTCGAGTTCATGCCCTGTTAAGCCAGGTGACGCTCGCGTTTGAGCCACCCTTATTGGTAGGAAGGGTCGGGCTTATAACTTGTTGGCTTGCCGCGTCCAGATCGCCTCCTATCCGTCATCTGTCCTCTGGCGAAACGTTGGGGTCTTAACCTGTTGAGCCAGGTGGCGCTTTGCGTTTGAGCGTTGGGCTAATAACCTGTTGGAGGGATGATTTGCGCAGAGTTGTTAGGGCAGTACAGTACGGAGTGAGGACAAAAGTAGGGTGGTCTAGGCGGCCATAGTGGAGAGGAAGTCTTGAGTGTAGAAGGAGAAGACGCTTGTGTTGACCTTGGTAAAAGAAGAAGTGATGAATTATAGAGTCTGGTGTTCTGGTGGGGGAGTTACTCTCCACCAACCAGTCCAGTTATGTACGATTTCTCTATATGAAATAGTACAGTTATATTCCACTAGATAGTTATCATCACATCGGAGATGCTTACTTCGACAAAACGCAAGTGCCTTTCGATTTTTTGCATATTAATCTTCCTTATGTCTTCACTGCCTTTGGTTTCCTATGTGAGCTGAATGTGCGAGTAGTCGCTGCTACCGAAGTTCTCGTGGCAGCGACGACAGACAATCATACTCGTCGTGTGGCCTTTGAAGGTCTCTACGCTCTCCTTCGACCAGCACGAAGCACATGCTCTGTACATGCAGATCTGGCAGCGCTTTGATCTCCGCGTTGGGGTATCCAGCAGCTTCATCCGAAGGCGCTTGGTGCATGCCACACACCGTGAGTTACTCGCCTCCAGGGTGTCCCGATACTCTTGGCCGGATGGATTGCTGTAGCTGCATCGAAGGCTACACTGAGTAGCTTGTTGCTGTCGCTGCTGTACCATCTCAGGAAGTCGATGAAGGCTCCTGGCTAGAGACGTCAGCCGTGTACGTACGGTCTGGGCGTCTGCGTATCCCTCCGGCACGTTTGTCGCGGCAGTGAATGTGGCATGGAAGCTGACACGCACTCGAGGGCCCCGACACCCTACCGTTTGGGGCAGAGGCTCTACTAAATATGTTGCAGTGATGCCATGTAACTGAGTCACGCGTTCTTTCTTCATCTTTCCGGCAGTCAGCTCACATTCCGGCATGGAGGTCATGACGATCGAGAATCCTGTCGGGTCGTCAATATTTACAGACGACGTGGAAGAATCAGACGAGCCGGTCGTCGTGAAAGGACTGGTGGGGGCAACCGAACGAGGCCGGAAATGCTCTAGAAAACACCATTCTTCATTCCGTGAAAATCTACGCGATCTGGCAAAGCAGGCCGTTCGTACAGCCACGTGGTCCTCGGCGTACAGCGTAAAGTCTTCGCTATCCTTTACTTGACGTTCACTATCATCGGATAATTCGTTATCAAAGCCTCGACGTTGAACCTCGTGGACGATGGAGCCGTAGATAAACTGATCTCCAAAGAAATCACGCGCCACTGCGTTATATTCACTTTCTGTCAGTGGTCGTAGCAATGGCTCTAGCTCACTCGGCTCGCAGGCTACTTCGCCCGTTGTGAGCACCTCAAAGTCTTCGCCACTGGCTCCCATCTGTCGCGAGAGCATCGCAAAGCCCGAAATCTCTTTGCAATCCCACGTGACTGTAGGTACCCGGAGTAGTCTTCCTCTTCGACTCTCAAGGCTAGCGCTACAAGCGCGATGGATTAACTCAGCATCCGAAACGCACACTTTGCGGGACATTGGCAAGTGTCCATCGGATTCGAAGCCTACCCACGGCGACACCGCCGGCGACGGTCTATCCGCTGGAACCGTTCGCATTGAACTCGTCAGGTGAGGTCGACATCGAGAGGACTCGCACGAATTGGGATGTAAACATGACTCACCCAAGTCACCCAGGACTTTATGATCGCCATTAAGACCATCGCTGGGTGGAGACTGCTTGCGGTAGAACAGAAACGACAAGTGAAGCTGTTTGGGCATTTGAAGATACGAAGGGACGAAGCAAAACCAAGAGGTGCCTTGGTGGTGGCAAGACAAATGGCGAATTGAGTTGTGCGTGTCCATGCGTCAAACAAGAGAAGGAAGAAATGGGGTGGCGTCCTGGTGGACGAGTACAGTGGAGAATTTGACTACTCTGGACTGACGCATATTTAGCGAGTCGTCGGTCGATGAGCGGCCAGCGAGCAGCTCCGAAGGCAGCGAAGGGCACGCACACATCGACACTCGTGGCCAGCATTGCGTCCATCTTGCGCTTTTGGGGAGTTGAATCGTTTGAGAAATACTAACCGAAGTGGGTCAGAAAAAATGGTCAGAATGGTCCCACCCTTAAACTGAATAAAGAAGTGTTTTTTGTTTGCAAGTTTGTATTGATGTTGTTGAAGTCTCACATTTTCTTACAAGTCCTGCGAGATCCTGCGTGTTGGTCGGATGGTTCCATGTCTCAAGCTAAGACGCTAGACAGCCCCACGTTATCTTGGGTTGTGCGGTACGCTAGCGGTTGTGCGCAACAAAACAACTTCACGGTGTCTAGCTGCTACCAAATCACTGCACCGTTGCACTATGGATATTACCCAACATGTTTGCGTGGGTCGCAACGTCCTACTCGTAAAGCGTAGCATACATTGTAGCTCACTCCGAATGTCCGTCGTTGCCGTCGCGAGATTACTGAGGCACAGCATTTCGTCACTTCGATAGTTGCGTCTTGCGGTGCGACCATCGTGAGAGAGTACGTGTCGCTGATATTTTTCGCGAGATCATTGAGCTGACTCACACTATATCAGCAGAGATCCAGTACAAGTAGGCCGTAAACCCAGGGCCGAAGCGAAATCGGACGGTGCTGCATTACATCAGACATGTCGTCCCTTGATTCTGGTTGTCGACCTGCCACGAGCATCGTCTTTGACTCAGCACGTTATTTTTTTGTCGATTAAGTTTTTAATTCTAGTCACTACCGGCCAGATTCCAGTCAGCGATTTCCAGCGACACGCTTCGGCTCGGACAGATCGGCGCACTCCCGCCTTGCTGTGTCAGCTAGGGCTGCAAGACTCTGACCTCAAAAGGTGTGAACCTGCGTTCAGGAGAGCTCGTATATACTACTATGTACAGAGCTTCTAAGCAGTATACTTTTATAGCGAGAACTTGACCATAATCACGAAAGCAATTCTACTTTAAGTTGCGTCTGGATCATGGTACAGTAGTACTGTAGTCGTTAGCGATAATTGCTGCACTGAGAAAAGAATTATTCTTTAAAAAATGTTCAAATGAATAGCACTATACTAGAAAATCAAAATTGTAGTAAATGCATTAGTATTTTGGAGCCGCTCATGAGCTTGAATACTTTTTATAGATTTCTTAGCTTCACCGTGAAGCCTTCACCTCGGACTTAACTTTAATAATTTTGGACGCGATCTGGCCAAAGCGCTTGAGCATATAATACTGTGATCGCGTTATATCCATCGGCGCAGTGTGGATGCAGCAAATGGAGCCTACCACCACTCCATTGGGAGCCACGACAGGAATCCCGCAGTAAAATTTGGCACCCTCGCGCGTGACGGGATTCATATTGTGGAAGCGAATGTCCGCTTCCGGGTTTCGGATTATGAACGGCGCATCACCCATTAATAAATGCTGGCAGAACGTTTGTTCACGGGGTAAAAGTGTTTGCACATGCTCCAGTACTGAAGAGCTTAGTACCAGCACATGCGTTTCGCCAACTATCGTGATCATCACACACGGTACGCCCAGTTCTTTGCTAATGAATGACGAGATTACGTCCAGTTCCAGCATCGGTTCCTTCATGTCCATGAGGCCGAGTCTGTCGATACAAGCCAATCGGGCTACTTCGTTGTCAGGGATAGGAGCAGATGGCGATGATCTGTCCATCGGATGCAATGGATAAGTTCGCTGCTGGGCATTTGCGAGCTTACAGTCTTTGGCTGCCGGTGCCCTCTCAGAGCTCCGAAAGAAATACTCTTCGACGGCTGCCATGTAATCGTCTTCATCTTTGACAGTATCCGTGTTTTCTGCCTTACTATTTCGTTCGTCGGCTGGGCTCAGTAGCAGCTTAACCACCGTCATTGTTGCCTCTCTTGTTGCGTCCCCTGTGAGGCTTTCATGCAGACTTTGACCCCAACGACGCTTCTGGGATACTGGGTCCTCTACAATCCGAGCTGGTCCACGAACTTGGATATGCGAGTAGTTGCAGCTGTCCACCCACTCAAGGCAACGTCTGCAGACACCCATCTCTTCGACCCGTCCATTGCAAGTCTCCACGCTTTGGCGGGTCCAGCAAGACGTGCAGACATTATGAGCGCATAGTTGACATCGACGAGCAAGTCGTATCCATGTGCTCAGTCGTAGGCCCTTGGTGCACGCAATACAGCAGGTATTCTGCATCTCCACTTGGGCGGACTGATGTGCAAACACCTGTGTGCCTAGACGTCGCCGTCGCACAACGACTGGGAGGCGAGGAATCCCTTGCGCCAAGGACACCAGACGGTCTCGCACTACTTTAGTGCTCGCAGATCCATCGCGTTTGTTCTTTCCACAGTGGCGTAAGTGGAATATCACGCGCACTTTGTTAGCACCCTCACTGGCAGGCATCGAGTCGACAATAAATAATCCATTAATGTCGTCAAGTTGAGTCACTCTGTCCCCGATGACTTTCCCAGCCGCGAGTTCCTTGTCCGATAACGATAAAATTGAGATGGAGAAACCTTGAGACGAATCATCGTCTACGGTAGGCTGGAAATACTCGAGAGTGCACCACTGCTCGTTGCGTGCCAGTAATCTGGACCGCAAGAAGCATCCCGTCCTCACTGTTAGTTGGTGGCTTTCTGGCATCGAGAGATGTGCCTCCTCCCCGTTTAGAACGTGTACGACGGAGCCATAGATGAACTGGTCGTCGTGAAGGCCCTTCATAGTTGCATTGTAGTCGCTCTCATCACGGGGACACAAAATCGAAGTCAGCTCTTGCGGACTGCACGCGATGTCACCGATGGTCAATACCTCGAAACCTTCGCTCGCTATACGCGACGACAATACGAAATCCTCGACACCCGGGTCAGAGGAGCCCAATTGAATACTTGGGAGCCTCTTTCGGTGCCCCCACGAAGATGTAGGAGCTGTCAATGCGCGTTTGAGAGTTTCAGCAGGTCGGCTGCTGCGTACTCGACGGAGGAGATCATCGTCTTCAACAAGCACTTTTCGAGACGGGTTTTCTGACGATGAAAGGCTGGTACTGGACGTCTTGAACGGCATTGAGAATCCCCACGACGACGGAAGGTTAAAATGACAAGTGTGGGGCGAAGAATTGCGAAGTCATTGACGGCCAGTTGAGCTCGGTATACGCTGACCTGACACAACGTGGCCGCCAGACTCTGGTCCAGAGGGTACCATACGAACCTTTTACGAAGTGAGGAAGTTAAGCGGCTTAACTTGAGCCTAGTAGCACAAGGAGTAGGGGCGGTAAGTTACGTTACTGCTGTGATATATTACATGCTTCATGATACCATACTTCGAAGTATCAGCTATTACTAGTACTACTTTACGTTTCATATTATTAAAATACGTAGTACGGTATGAACTGGTTGAACTCAACAATTGTGTAAGTCACACAAGTACCAGCTAATGTACCAAACCTTTGGCACAGATTTTTTTGTTCTTTTTTTTGTGCTGCCACCACCTACCCGTCACCAGCAGCTATTCTTGTCACGTTCCGGCCACCATCCTAAAATAATGCCACGCTCGTCGAGCTTCCTGCGGCGCTGGCGGCGGTTGCTCGGCGCTGATCCAGCCCTTTCCAGCGTCGTGTTGTATCTCAATCCGCGTGAGGCTGTGTGTCTGTTAGTATTCGCGCTGGATGCGCAGTATGAGCCGCTGATGCGCTTCCTGTACGCGCATCCGCGCCTGCTGTCACTTGGCGACGCATCGCGTCGCTTCACGAGCGTTCTACACTGCGCCGCGGCCCACGGCTGCATAGAGGTGGTGCAGCGTCTTCTGCGCTTCGATTGA